TAAGCTAATGTTCCTGCTGGGTCACTAAGGCAACGGGGGTCTATCAGAAAACAAGAGGTGGTCAAGACCATGCCAGATTTAATCAGTCAACGATTTAAATAGCACCTGAGGCTGCAATAAATTGTTCTTTATCGAGCAGCAGGTTTTATTGTGTCAGTAAAAACATTTATCAGCTGCTTGAGACAAATTAATAGCTATTTTCCCAATTATGGGGAGGGAGGGAAAGAGGTGATGAGCAAAGGGAGAAGTTCTAACAAGTAAGTGAATTCTGACTGAGCTCGGATGATTTACTTTGTGGACTTCATCCAAGCCTAGCTATTGTGAAGCACAGTAAATCTCATTTTAATAATAGAAGATAACTCTTCATCACTAAAGAAACAATGCTATTTTTATGCCTCAGCTGCCAAACTGGAGTATGAGCATCCCTCTCTTTGACACATTTACCTCTCTTAAAAAGCAGTTTCCTCTAAAATCTAGGACCTGTAATTGTTTTATAAGAAAGCAGCATTATAACGTGTGAGATTTATGCTACCTCTGACGGACAGAATTACCATTGGGAAGATTGTGTGTTTGACATTCTTTGCTTTCCTTAGATGCAGCAATTGTGGACGTCGCCCCTTCAGATCCCTTGCTTGCCAAAAGTTTCCATTTGGGAGTTTAACTAAAAAAATAAAGTGATGAGATGATGGCCGAGGGAGGTAAATGGCGGTAGAGCAAGGGTACCTGAGAACTTTATAAAGCACACAATGACAGCTATAAAGCACTATCTCTAAAAAGAAAATAAGATGACTGTCAGGAAAAGAAGAATCATTTCACCAGTAATCAGGACAGCTAGCTCAGTATATACTTGGATGAGTCACATAAAGTCTCTAGGGGAAAATATATGCTTGAATGTTGGCTGGCTGTGTCCTTGAACTCTGATTATGGTGAGGAGAGAAGAGGTGGCTGAATAGAGAAGAAAGCGTGAGAGGTTGATTAATGTTATTGACTTTTTAATGGCAACTATCTTAAGATACGATAGATGGTTTGAATGATGCTGTCAAAACAGGACTATTTGCCATGAGTAAGAACTATTTACCCAAGTACAACTTATTATCATGGGACCCTTAGGACAGTCAATATATTCCTAAAGTGTGTGGCGGAGCAAAGAGGTTTACTATTAATATCACATTGTTCAGATGCTTATTGTTTGAGGGGTCTACTGAATTGCCAAAATATTTAGAATGCCTTTGACAGAACTGAAAAAAAAAGTTTTCCGAGATGGTGTCCTCAATAACTGGGACACAACTGGCTTGAAAGCAGAACAGAAATTAAATATAAGCAAAGTAACCTCAAAGTCATTAAAGGGGGAGCCTGGATGGTGCATTGTATTTTGAAAGAGGAAAAGTGGAATTATTACGTGCACCTTGTATCTGAGCTCAATACTGAGCTGCATTTATTTACAGACTGATCGTTGGGGAAGTAATTTGGAAGCATGTTTTCAACATTTATGCTGTCTGAAAAGTCGGCCAGAAACATGACAGATGAGGTTACAAAAAAACACAGCAAATTGTAGTTGTATTCAGAGCTTTGATCCACAGTTGGAGCATTAGTTATTTGCAGGAGAATCTTGAAAAACTCGCAACAACAACGATACACCAGGTGATTTGGGAACAGGTGGTTGGGAATAAAAACAGGCCATTACACTGTATTATGATTTACACTGCTTAATGTATAGTTTGAAAATATACATTAGCAGATCATTTAAGGACAAAAACATGCCAGAGGTTTATAATATAATATAGTTTCCCACACTCATTTCAAGTTACATTATGGAATCCCCAGGGAGAATCCAGAATTTCTTTGAACATTTGGCTATTCAGAGAAGGAAGTTGTTATAATTTCATCAGCTTTGACAGGGACAAGTTCAAGACATGTTATAGTCCCTCCCAAGAGAAATGGAGTATCATTTCCATTACATATGTAGAGTACGATATGTCTAATACAGACCAAATTCTGCCCAAAGTGTTCAGCATGATTCAGTGACCAATGGAGCTTTAAAGTTCCCTCCATTTCTCAGCTGGTGTTCTTCCTTGCATTGGACAAACATTGAGTTTCAGGGTTTTTTAAAAAAAGAAACAACCTCCTACAGAACAGGTGGAATTTTAAGGCTCCAGATCTTTAACAGCCCCCAAAATTTAGTCCTTTGGGTTGAAAAGACATGAGAAGCTTCAGGGACAATGGCTAGTGAGAGTTAAAAAACCCATTGAGCATCACATGCTGAACAGAAGAAATATAGGCCTGATTCTGCCACCTTCACTCACGTTTATTATCTTACTATCAAGTAGTCCCATTGCTATCAAATAATTGGCAAAACTGAGCCCTGTGTACATAGGATCCTATTAGTCCAAGTAACATACAATTTAAGTTTTCATTTCCATTCTTCAGGAACAAAAATAGTCTACTCTGTCATCACTGAATTGTACAGGATCATTATGTTGCAAATATAAACACAATCATATTAGTATAAAGTAATAAGTGACATTTTATTGTTTATACACAGTGGAGCAACCTAGCTGCCTCACAAACAAGAGGCAATCAAAACTCTAATTTTAGCAATAGAAAAGCATGCCAACAATATAAAAAGGAGTTCAGGCCCTTTCTAAGACAGATAATTCCTTGTGTCTTCTCAAATTAGAATGAAACACAGTCTAAAGGTTTAAGGCAAAAATACTGACACTCTGCACCTGAAACCAAAAAGTGGCAAGCACCATCTGAGAAGTTTAAGCTGGAAGAAGCTTTTATCCATCTGAAACCCAGTCCACTAAAGGAAAGAATTCATTTTCCAAAGCAAAATATATAAGAAAAAAAATCAGTTTACGTAATGTAAATTCTCTACATAAGGACGATTTGATACAACTGATCACATGTATACAGCAAAGCAGTGAACAAGATGGAAGAGTTGTACATTTAGAAATAGTAGATGCTACAATCCAATTAGCATTCAGGGTTATCTTAGATTTCAAGTGGCTTTCCAACAGTTTCATCACTGACACACCTGTTTCTTGGCAGACATACACGACACAGGACATTTTCCACAAGATTACACCAGTTTTAAAATTCCTGTCATTTAAGTACTGGGTCTATCCAGATTTAGTGTCCCATTATATTAGTAAACTAAATACAGTTACTGTTCTTCTGGCTAAGGTTACCTAAATGCATTCATATTGGTTTGGAGGAGAATGAGCAGTGGCTGACTGCCAATGTTTGATTATTTTTGCACTTGGAAAGCAAAAATCAATGTTGCTGTTTCTTCTTCCTTATATAACTGTCCTGTATTTTTAATGCCCCATCCTGCATTTATAATACTTGAGGGAGCAGAAAATACAAATGGCCAAATTCTGCTTTCCGATATTGTTTGTGCAACTGCCCAGGAGGTAAATGGAAGCTGTGTGCATGCATCTGAGAGCAGAATTGGATCCATACTTTGTATGAGCATTATTCTCCTTTAGGGTACACTGGCATATCATTGCATTGGGGTTGGTGCAAAGCCACTCTGGCATGAAGGGAGTACCAGGTGGCTGTCAGAATATCTCCTGAAGCCTGGCCTGCAAGGGAGTGTGCTGTGCACCCCCAGGATAATATGAACAGAGTTGTCCCTAAACTCCCACTGTGCCTTGCCCTTATGGAAGGCTCCTTACACCCCTCCAAACCCCAGTATGCATCCCTTTTGGGGGACAAGCAATCAGGTGTTAGGTTCCCAGCTGTCCTGGACTTTTAGCAGGAGTTGGACACCTAACTTCCTTTTGCACCTTTGAAAATCTCCCAGAATTACCAAAGTGTATCAATTGGGAAGGATTGCTGTTTGGATTTACGGAACAGTCTCACACAGACCTTAGTGTCTATGGAGAGCTCCCAAGCCTGGCTCATCATATCCTTGTTAATATACGTAATGATGGTGACACCATCATTTGAGTTGATGCTTAAAGGCGCAAAGGACAGTTAGGTGCCTAACTACCATTAGAGACTAAACTGCTACACAATACCTCATGTTAATATATATGTCTTATTTCTAGTGTCCACCAGTTCATTGATGGATATGCTCATACACTAGGCATCATACGTTGAAGCATATAACAAAACAAAATTCAGCACTACAGGAGTATTTCATCATGCACTCTATTACTAAATCAGACAAGAACTGCCCAGGAAGAAATGAATACAAGCCTATAGGGTCAAGTCACCATGTGTTCATTGTGTAGGTCATGGAGAGACCACAAAGATTCCACGCTCCCTGTGGGTAGCAGGGAGATTCTGCGGGAGGTAGGGGCAGTGTCTGTGCCTCCGCAACTAAGCTAATCCACTAGCCTGAAATTCTGCGTGGTTTAGAGCAGGGGTCGGCAACGTTCGGCACGCGGCTCGCCAGGGTAAGCACCCTGGCGGGCCGGACCAGTTTATTTACCTGCTGACGGCGGCAGGTTCGCCGTCCCGGGCCAATGGGGGCGGCGAGAAGCGGCGCGGGCGAGCGATGTGCTGGCCGCGGCTTCCTGCCGCCCCCATTGGCCCGGGACAGTGAACCGCGGCCAGTGGGGGCCGCGATCGGCCGAACCTGCCACGTCAGCAGGTAAATAAACTGGCCCGGCCCGCCAGGGTGCTTATCCTGGCGAGCCGCGTGCCGAACGTTGCCGACCCCTGGTTTAGAGGCTGCAACCCACAGGCTGTATTAACAGCTGCAACACCTTGGGAAGAGTGGGAGGATTCTCTCCCTACAGCGATTCTCAGCCCAAAGCAGTTTATTTTGGCTTTTCACAAGGCTCCAAAATTTGGCCATAGAGCATATGAATTCATGTCACTATTTGTAAATCAGATGAAGATCACTGCATTAAAACTACTGCTCTTCTGATTTCTGCTATACAGCACACTTCCATTATTACTTACAGCTGTGGGCCACGGTATCATGGGGACAGCCAACATTTTACAAGACTTTTTGTCGTCACAAAAAACAAGAGAAAAGCACTTACCATAAAACCAGGAAACTCCAATTGCCTCCATTAAAACAGCAAACAGGATTGAAGTCCCAGCTGCAAATGTGTCCAGTAGTGTGAGGACGTAAATTCCACCCTGAGGCATAAAAAATCCAACAAGTATCATAGATTCATAGATTCCAAGGCCAGACGGGACCTCTATGCTCATGTAATCTGAGCTCCTACATAACATGGGCCAGAGAATGTCCCCCCAATTATTCCTAGAGCAGATCTTTTACAAAAACATCCAATCATGATTTTAAAATGGTCAGTGAGGGTGAATGCACCACGACCCTTGGTGCAGTGTTCTAATGGTTAATTATTCTTAATATTAAAAAGGTATGCCTTATTTCCAGTCTGAATTTGTTTAGCTTGAATTTCCAGCCATTGGATTATGCTATACCTTTCTCTGCTAGATTGAAGAACCCATTATTAAATATTTGTTCCCCATGTAGAGATTTATAGACTGTAATCAAGTCACCCCTTAAGCTTCTGTTTGTTAAACTAAATAGATTAACGTCATTGAGTCTATCACTAGAAGGCAGGTTTTCTAATCCTTTAATCATTCTTGTGGCTGTTCTCTGAACCCTCTCAATTTATCAACATCCTTCATGAATTCCCCTGTTTATGCATTGTAGGGTTACATTAGCCTTTTTGGCCACAGCATTGCACTGGGAGCTCATGTTCCCCCAAATATCCACCATGACCCTCAATTCTTTTTCAGAGTCATTGCTTCCCAAAATAGAGTTTCTCCATCCTGTAAGTATGGCCAACATTCTTTGTTTCTAGCTCTACACATTTACATGTAGTTGTATTAAAACTGTATCAGTGACCTGTCCTTTTCATTATTTACCACTCCTCCAATTTTTGTGTCATCTGCAAATTTATCAGGGATGATTTTGTGTTTTCTTCTAGGTAATTGAAAACATGTTAAATAGTGTAGGGCCAAGAACACATTCCTGTGAGACCCCACTTGAAACACACACACTTGATGATGAATCCTCATTTATAAGGCCTATCATTATCTGGGTCATCCCATTTAGCCTTTTAAAATATTGCCACATTTTCTTTCTTCTGGAACTTTCCCCGTGTTCTAAGACATTGAAAATCAGCATTAACCATCCAGTGGGTTCCTTAGCCGGATCTTTTAAAACTCTTGGTTGCATGTCATCTGGACTTGCTGATTTACAAATGTTTAACTGTAGTAGTTGCTGTTTAACATCCTCCTGAGATACTATTGGAATGGAAAGAGTGTTATCGTCATCATGTGAGACTACATCATCTGTTTTCCCCCAAAACTACGGAATATATATCGATATTGAAAACTTCTGCCTTTCTGCATTATTACTGATAATTCTACTGTTTCCATACAGTAATGGGCCAATACAATTGTCAGGATTGTTCTTCTTCCCAGTATCCTTAAAACTCCTCCTTGTCGTTAACTCTGATGGTCATATATTTCTCTTTGTGTTCCTTTTCTTTCTTTATCAGTTTCTATAGTTCCTAGCTTCTGATTTATATTCATTACTGTCACCGTCCCCTTTCTTCCATTATTATATATTTTTATTTTTTATATTTACCTTCACTTCCCCTCTAAACCAGGTCAATTTTTTAATCAGTACGGCCTTCCGTGATTATGAGATTGTGACTTTTTGGGCATCTAGTTAAGTGTTCTTAAACAATTCCCAATTATGATTTAGATTTTTCTGATTAAATTCTTCCTCCCAGTTGATCTGGCTCATAATTGTTTTCAACTTTGTGAAACTGGCCCTGTTAAAGCACCAAGCATATATATTACTGTCTGGACTTTATTCTGCTTCCATATTGTAAATATGATCAAGTTATGATTGCTTGTACCTAAGCTACGATTAATTTTTAGTTTTGTGATCAGTTTCTCTTTATCTGTTAAGATTTGATCTAATATAGAATTCCCCCATGTTGGATGCAACAGCTTTTCATTTAGCAAACTGTCATCTATAATATTTAGAAATTCCAAGGATATTTTAATACTGGCAGCATGAGATCTCCAGCATATGTCACTCAAATTGAAGTCCCCCATGATCACGCAGCTTTTCCCCCCTACACATTATGGTTAGAGGCATAAGGAGCTGGTCATCCTGTTCCCTAGTGTGATTTGGTGGTGTGTAGCAAATGCCAACTAATACTCCATCTTGTGCTTTATGCATTAGGACATTGATTCATAGGCATTCAAGATCATTTTCTTTGGAGTTATGAGTGACTCAGAAACCAATAATGCCATTTTTGACATAGAGTGCCACTTCCCTTTTGCCCACTCAATCCTTCCTAAATAGGTTATAACCACTGATTTTAATATTCCAGTCTTACACATCATCCCATCAGGTTTCAGTAATACCAACTAGATTGAATTTATACTCATAAATAAGCAATTCCAATTCAATCTTGTTTGTTATCCTGGTTCCTAGCACTGGGTGTATAGGCAATTAAAGAATTGTTTCTCTTCATATCCTCGGGTTCCTTCATTAATTTTGTTTTCAACATCTTGATTCTGTGCTAAACGAGTGCTCATATTTCCCCTGTTTTTACTCTCCCCTGTTGTTGTTAGTTTAATGCTCTCCTGACTACTCTAGCCAGACTACCCCTGAGGAGATTGGTTCCCCTTCTACTGGTGGAGGTGGTCCAAACTATACTGCTCCCTCTCCCTGTAGAAGGTTGACCAATGTACCATAAAACCAAAATCTCCCACCCTCCACCACTTATCTAGCTAGTGGTTCATTGCCAGAATCTTCTGCCTTCTGTCTTCCTTCGCTTGTGGGACAGGAAGGATCTCAGAGAAGATTGTTTCAAGTTTATTCTTCTTCAGGACACTTCCAAGTTCCCTGAAGTCATCTATTATCTGTGAGATGTCCCATGATGCCGTGTCATTAGTGCCGAAGTGAATCAACATGAATGGCTCCTTGACCATTGACTTCAGAAGCCTATCCAATCTTAAAGTGAGGTCTTGTGTCTTGGCTCCAGGAAGACAGCACACCGTCCTGTTATCCATCTGTCCCTTGCAGAATGATCTTTCAATTCTTCTGAGTACAAAATGTCCAACAAGGATCATCAGTCTTTCTTGGACAGTTGGAGAACTCTTTGTGGATATGCTTGATTTTCGAATCGGTTGTCCTGTACATCTTTCCATTCCCTAGGACCAGCTGAATCTTGAGAGGAATCTTCTATAGTTTCCATACAGAGGACCTGGAATTGATTGGAAACTTCTAGCTGTGTAGAATTTCTCCTGGTCATCATCTCTCTGGTGGCCTCAGTCTATTCATCCTCATCTGTCTCCAGCTGTGAGGAATGCTGATGTGATTTCTTGCCTCTGGTGGTTATGAACTGCCAGGCCTCCTCCTCTGATTTCCTGTTTCCCTGACTTTTTGGTGATCAGCAACTTTCTTCCTTGAACCTGGGGGTGCGGATGCTTCCTACACCTGTCTAGGAACTCCTCTGCTTCTCAGTAGCATCTCTATTTGCACCTCCAGTCCAAGAATGTTTTCCTCCAGCACAGCCACCAACTTGCACTTCATGCACCAGGAAGTCCCTTCTTGTTTCCGCAGGAAAGAAAACGTGGCAAATCTGCTGTGGGTCACCACCACTGTTCCATCACTGGTCATCTTAAAATCAGACGTAGAGCTGAACCTGGAAGGAAAGGCTCTCACACACCTTCTCTCAACTCCGTCCAAAACTCTCCTGTTAGCTGCCTCTGTTCATGGACTTTGAATTTGCCGAGCAAGTGACTTTTTATACCAGAGCTCCCTGCTTAGCTTAGCTCAGCTCAGCTTCGTCCCCACCACCAGGGAGTGATTAACTACTCAGAGACTTCAAATAGCAGAGCTCCTCAGAGCTCTTAAAGAAACAGTTAAAATTCTTCTACTTTCAAAGTTTATCCTCCAGGTACCAGAGGTCTGATGGGTAGAAATATAATAATCTCAGTATGTTCAGGGGCAGCTCTATGTATTTTGCTGCCCCAAGCATGGCAGTCAGGCGGCTTTCGGCGGCGTGCCTGTGGGAGGTCCACTGGTCACGCGGATTCGGCGGCGTGCCTGCAGGAGGTCTGTCGGTCCTGCGCCTTCGGCGTACCCACCGCTGAATTGCCGCTGAAACCGCGGGACCGGCGGACCTCCCGCAGGCATGCCGCGAAAGGCAGCCTGACTGCCGCCCTCACGGTGACCGGCAGGCCGCCCCCCATGGCTTGCCGCCCCAGGCACGCGCTTGGTGCGCTGGTGCTTGGAGCTGCCGCTGAGTATGTTTAACCAAGGAGGTGAAAGCTTGGGCATCCCTTGGGCTGCATGGAAAATGGTGGGTTTGAATGAACAACCCTTGCAAACGGGTTTAGCCCTCACCCACAAAATGGGAGCTGAAAAATGGATGGAATTCACTGGAACACACAGTTAGTGAGCACCGTCAGTTTCCAGTAACTTCAGTGGGAACTGAGGTCTCTTGGTGCCTTGCAGAACTTCTCACCAACTTGGAGGATTGAGCCCAAACTACAGCGAGCGTAGAGTTACTTCTCAAAGTAGCTGCAAGGCATTGGTGTGTCACAGTCATGGCTGCTATCACTCCACTTCTTCCCATAGCCAGGTTTGTGGTCCAATGGATCTGCAGTCTTGGATCCAATGTCCCATTCCCATGCTCCTGTAGAGTGGCCTAGTGCATACAAATGGCTGTGAAATCTCCATTGCCTGCTATCCAGTACAGTAGGAGAGCCCTGGTTATGCTGTGGTTTGTGTCTTTTTCTGTGGCTGAAGTGTGGTGACAGGATTTCACCTGACATAAATATCCCCTCTCCTTTGAAATATACACCCCCTGAAATGCATTGATTTGGAACTGTACGTTGCATTTACGAGATTCTTGCAAAATTGTTTTTCAGACACTCTGAGCTGGATTTGACTTTGTTTTATTTGATTGGTCTTTGAGTAAACTATTAAATGTCTCATTTTATTTAGTGTGGAGTGAAGAGAATGGAGGGGATTGTTGGCATATGGAGCTCCCTATCGTTTTGAAATGAAGCAAAGCAAAATATTTTAAGACATTGTTACCATTTTATCCCCTGCAAACAGCTGAGAGAACTTCCAGCCAGGGTAGATTCTAACAATCTTATTTATAAACAAACCCACTATGAATATGCCTGCTCCTCGTGTGGATTTTGTCTTTAGTATCTTTAACAATTTAATAAAGAGGATAAATACCATTCGTTTTGTAGATCTGATGATGATTTTACTGTTTAATTAACAAAGACATAGTTTAGCTTTTCTCTTCTTATAGCATACAGAGACTTTGTACCAGAGATGTCGCTATTTACAGTGACCAATGGAGACGGCTATCTAGGCTTTTCTGAGTTATAAACTCTGGAGATGTGGAGATCTGGCCAAAGTTTGGATTAACATAGGGCACCTAACGAACTGTATGGCAAATATTTTAGCAACAAGCAAAAGACTGTTTATTGAATAGTGTTTTAGGTGAGAAATTCTGCTCTACACCTGTTCATTATTTGAATGCCTTTCTTTTAGAAATCCAGCAAGGTGACTGATGAAATATGTCTGTATGAAAAACAGACTGCTTTGAAAGGAGATCCCAAAGATTTTCAAGGAGAAATTCAACTGATTATTTTATCTCTATGGTCTCACAGGGGATTTGATTTCTACTTTGTACACATGTGACATCAACTTTTTCTTTGACGTGAACTAATGTATTGGTACCTGTCAAGGCAATTCAGTGCAGTCTAGCTTGTTTGAGGATTTAATCCCACAGAGATACATAATTTGAAAGACACTGAACTAGATTCTCATGTGGTCTGAATTGGCATAGCGCAGTTGAAGTCAATGGAGTTACACCAATTTAGACCAGCTAAAGATCTGACCCATTGTGTTTCTTCAAACCCATTGGCCCAAGCCTATTGTTAACCCAGATGAGACCTTGAACAAGGAAGTAGTATGTCCAGCTGCATAAGATGACAGAGAAAGTTGAAAAATGTAAAAAGGGTCAATATTTATTATTAGTATAAATTATCTGTATTATTAATATAAGGCTTACTTTCAATCTTTGAAAACCTTTTCAATCTAATGAAACACTGTAGTGAAAAAACTACCAGGAAAATGCATTTTGTTAACTTTAAAATTTCTTTAAAACTTTTCAATTCATTAATTAGTAGCATTTTAATAACTTTCTGCTAACTTGTTGATCTGTGAGTCAGTGGAATGCTGATAGCCAGGGATGTGGTCATAGGATCCCAGCACTGGTGCATTCATTATGGCTACGTAAGGTATAATGCATATGGTAGCATTATGGGGTGCATGCTTAGCAGTGGCACTCACCTTCCTGGTTCTAGTTGGCATGCAGAGAAGAGCAAGGCCAGCCCAGAACAGACATGTCCTCTCTGTGTTGTGCTGCCAGCACTTGCAGTGCCTTGCTCCTTTGCCCGTAGACAGCAAAAACAGCCACAGTATGACTGCCACCTGTGCAAAGGGTTCCCTGCAACCTTTCCCCACATCCAGCACATGTATGCAGCCATTATTTTTCTGCTTTATATTTGTAATGCGGGGAGCAGGTTGCATTATACCCCCGATTTTCAAAAATAGGAAGGTTCCTTCACTGAAATGCATCCAACCCAATGCATTAGTAACTATGATCTGCTACGCTGCCAAGCTATTATCATGCTCATGGAAAGGGTGATAAGATTATTGTACTGAAGTGTAATTTTACAAGAAGTGAATGTTTCTTATTGATTAATTATCTTGTGCTGTTGTGAAAAGAGAGTTTTCAAATGCTTCCGGGTGTGGTCCCCAAAATGCTTTCCCCACAGTCCCATTTCAGATGATGAAGCTACAGTAGAGGTAAGTATAATGCATGGGAATAAAGGTTTGTGAGATCAATTGATAGATAATAGCCTTGTAAAAAACAGGAGGGGAGAGGCATCATTTATAGAAGAATTAATATAATATTCAGACAATAATGTTGGTTATAATTAAACTTTCCAGGCACACAAAGAGATCAACCCCAGCCTACAGTAATTCTGTCTCTTTTACAGGAATAGTTGCATTGTTAAGTTAACTTGCTAATGGAAATGCTTGCAGTACTTACATTGGTGATACAAAAAAGAGCCACCAGGAAAGTGCCAAAGGAGACACCAAATGTGAAAAGCTTTCTGTGCCGCTTCAGTATTTGGAAATCATCTGCTAACCCAGTGATGACAGCTTCCATTCCACCCATCTAAGGAAAAGGAATACAGGAGTCTAGTTTAGACAGTAATGGCAGAGACATTTTACCCACAAACAAAGTGAAGGGTATCCATAAGTTTGAGATTCATCTCTATTTCCTTTTGTGATTTCTAACATTGATTGAGTTTCTTCTCTTTATTTAAAAGTGTTATACCTTCTGTAAAATGTGCATATGATTTCACTCTGGATTATTCTTCCTTGTTGTTGTTCATACTTGCACATAGTTGAAGTGTTAGAAATCAGAATAAGTAGGTCTCAACTTCCCTCACCTGGTGGCTGCTGTTTTTATTGATAAGGAACAATAAAATGGAGAGCAGAGCTAAGCAATGTGGCAAATCAAACAACATTGTTACCTCTGTATACTGGGGCTAGAGAGACAACCCTTAGTGCTGAGAATTTTATAATAACAAAAATTCTTGATAATACCATAGAAGAATTTTAGTTTGCCCTCTGGACGTAACCACTATATGTTAGCCATTTTTTGCTGTTGGGAGAAATTGACTGTGGTAGCTGAAATATTTTCCAAGCTGTCATTGATCCTGCTGTAGGGTACAGGTTCCTGATCATGAACTTTATGTCCTGTGCTGTAATGCAAATATTTTGGGTTTTTTTTCCATAGGGTTAGATCAGAATGAATCCAAGTCTCCTTCTCAGAGCCAGCCCTCAGTGTTTTGCTGCCCATGTGGGAAAGTATTTTTGGCACTTTCCACACAGCTGAGCAACAAATAAATAAATAGCTAAGCAGTGGTTCCCCCCTCCCTCCCATGCCTGCCCTGCTGTTGCTTTGGTGATCCTGGAAGCTCATG